CGCAACGAAAAGCGAACCGTAACGGTATATCAAACTGGCCCATGTTTCGAAGACAAGTAAAAGAAAAAAGCAAATGCCATTGAAGACCAACGAATTGAATCAATATTTTGCTTTTTAGTTTACCTGTACCATTTATATCATCTAGTATCCAAAGTAAATTAGCCATACGTGCAATACTATTAAATGATACAATATTGTTACAAAGTCTTATTAATGATGTTGATCGTGTTTGCTCGGTAGAAAAGAATTGAATGATTAAATTTTTGAAAATAATATTGAGCATCTTTGTAGGTTCATATTAGACGTGATTTTTTTTGAAAAAGTTTATCAGCTATTCATTATGCTATTAAACATGATAATATTGATTTACTTCGAATATTATTAGAAGATCTACAAAAGCCGAAAAATAATCGAGCTCCTTTTCCAGAAGTAACCATGAAAAAGCAAAGTACAGGAACGTAAGTAAAATTTGAATCACTTTTATTTTTAATCTGAATACAAAAAAAAACCAAGTCTATATATATATATATATATTGATCTAGAGCAAGCATTCGTACATTGGGTTTTCGAACAGCTAAAATTATGGCCAGTCGTGGAGCACGTGAAGGCAATAATGCATTAATTAAAGTATACGATTGATATTATTTATTAAAATTCTTTAATAAATTTTGTTTAGGATACAAACGAAGTTATTGGTCGTTATGATGCAGAAGAAATCATTATATATGAAATAAAAAACAACTGTTCATGTGAAATTTATGATTTACTTTGTGAAAAGTTTAATGTAATTAAAAAACAATCATTCATTGTTATCTATTAAAGACAACTTTATCCTTGTCAGTCTTCTCATTTCTATAATAATATCTCCCAATGTATTCAAGCTGGTCATAGAAAATTTGCTGTTCGGATTATCGATAGTATGGAAAATATAAGTTATTATGGTTTTAAAAAACTTCATCATGAAGTAAATTGAAATATTGCAAAATTTGAATGTATTACTGTTTCTTTTTATGGGTTCTTCGCTTTAATGAAGAAGATTTAACTGTCGATAGCTCTTACGATGTTATTGAAAAAACAAACAACAATGGTCAAGTAAGACTTGAATTGTTTGCCATTTCAAAATAATTCTGAAGAAAATTTTAGATAGCACCTATTCATTGTGTTGCTATTAATCCGAATTCAAAATATTTAAAACAATTACTGTTAATCGTACCTGAACGTAATATTAAAGATAAGTATGAACGACGACCAATTCATTTTGCAGCTGTTTGCGAAGGATCAGAACCATTAGAATATCTTTTATCTAGATACGAAAAAGAAACTTGCTGAAACATTTTTGAATTCTTTGCCTTCAATTCCTAGAAATGCCAATATAAATGATGTCGATAATGATGGCAATTCACCATTGCATATAGCTGTAATAAATGGGTCAGTTTGATATACCGTTACGGTTAGATTTTCCTTAAGAAGACAATTACTCTGTACTTTGAATAATTGTGCTTTTGATATGGTGACAGGTTTTCTTGCTAGAAAATCTCACATTGGACATCAGATAAAAGATTTAGCATCAGACAAACTTGTTTTCTTTGATGTTTGTTTTTATTTAACCACTTTCTTTTCTCCTTCGATAATTTCATCAATACCTTGAGTACGTCGTCGTTTTCGCACAGCTATGAAAACAAAATTAAGAATGAACATCATTAATGAAAACGATAACTTACGAGCAGATTTAACACTAGTGATTTGTTTGCATTTTCTGGTCGGTTGTTTTTGATTATTATCTGACGTAATCATCAGATTATTCTCTCTATTTAAATCCATTGATTCACCTTTCATTGACTTCTTTAATAAAATATTCGTTTCGATAATATCTTGTTTTAATAAAGATATAGTTTTATCAGCATGATGGATAAGATGTTGAATTTCAGTAAGAATTGTATTTGAATCAAGTTTATCTTCATAATCAAATTTGAAACGTTTATTTTCATCAATTTTCGTTTCATCACCATTTTCATCAGCTAATAAACACCATCGAATACGAATTTATTTTGTATGAGGATACACATCTTGAAGAACTTGACAGAGAAAAAATGAATCAGCAGGGCTTTGACATGTTATAAAAGTTTTATTTGGATAAAGACATGTTGCGTGAAGATCAGTTGAAGAAACGGACGAGGTTGAAATTAATCGTTTTTTATGTTTTTTATGAGTTACACTTTCAGACTCCGATAAGGAATCATCATCTCAATCTCGATGACTTTGATTGAATGTAGATTTATGAATATGACGATTAATTGGAGAAATCTAAGAGACAAAATTAAGATCATTCTTTCTATTTGATAACTCGTTTTAAAAGACAGAAATTTGTCAAGACAAAAAAAGCTTACACGTCAATAGTTTCCATTCAATCCTGTATGAACTCGTATTTTCCCACTACCATTGTTTGCTTTCGGTTGATTGATTTTCTGAAACAATTGATTCTATTCGTATTCATTGACATACAAATGTGTTTACTCGTTTTGTATAAGCAGTAGTTTTTTTCCTAAGAGTTCTTTTTCTAGATGATATAACCGATGCTTGCTTAGTTTTCTTTTTTTCTGATGATGATTGTAGATCATTTTCCAGCACCTGAAATAAAGCAATTTCTCTTTCTTGTGTTTCTATTAAAATGAAATATATCATCGGTTTTTAATTTGGATTATTTGCATCTCAATAGAGTTCGTTTCTCATTTGATGAATCACTTGTGTTCATAATCAATCTATGATACATGGAAAGAAAGGTATTCTTT